CCTGATTCTTCCCCCCCCCCGTACCGTCCCAGTCGGGAGAAAGACAGTGCCAGCCTCTCTGGGGAGAGTCTAGACGGACACTTGCAGGGTGAGTGTGCATCTGAACACTTCTCTTTTGGAGGGTAGCGGGTGGAGGGAGTGAGCCAGGAGGCAGCGGGCTGCGGCTCGCCCGCCTCGTCTCCCATGACCGCGTGGGCCGCCTCAGCCCCTGTGTGCCTGCGAAGCCGCCTCTCGCAGGTGAGGCAGCCAGCAGTGCTGTCCCCAAACACCACAGCCACCCAGGCTCCACATACACAGCAACCCTGGGCCGGCGGGAGGAGGTGGGATGTAGCAGCTGAGAGGGTGATAGGAGTGTCAGCTCCAGCCCATCAGCCTTGGGCTGGGCCAGTCCCACTGGGGCAGGGGTCTGGTCCTAATGATGGAAGTCTGTAGAGGAGGAGCTTGGGGAGCAGGGGGAGGGAATAAGGGATGAAGGGAAGCAGGAAGGAGGGGCACCAGCAGAAGAAGCTTAGGTAGAAGTTTCAGCAGTTTGGAAGGGCGGAACAGGCTAGGAGTTGTGGGGATGGGATTGCCCAGCCTGAAAGTGGAGGAGCCCATAGGGGGATGCTTTGTGTTGTGAATGGGGGAAGGGAGAGTGGGCCGGCAGAGGGCTGGGCAGCGGCTGGGCTGAGAGTGACGCAGCAGACAAAGCCACCAACCCTGGCTTGGTATTTTTAAACTCTGCGTGGGTGGGAAGTGGGGGTGGGGACTGGAAGAGGGGCTCCTCTTAAGGGAGGAGCTGAGAGGGAGGCAGGCTTCCTGTCTTCCCCGTGATCTGGCTACCATAAAACTTGGGGGTGCCATGGTAGGGTGGGTGGGGCCTGGGAAGGGGCCAGGGATATGAGTATGGGGGTGACAGAGCCTGGGAAGGGTAGGGAGGGGGAGAGGTCAGAGCCAAACCGCCCCCACAGCTCCTGACAGAACCAGAAATTCCAGCAGAATGGAGGCGGAGAGACAGAGACATACAGAGACAGCTACACACAGCTAGAAAAGGGAGGGGGCTACAACAGCTTGGGTGTGGGAGCCCCTCCCCCCGCCCT